CTGTGGGACACAAGAAGTTCAATCTGAGTTGCTACAGAAGCAAACTGTATCAATAGAACTCATTAATCGCCAATCAACAATGAACGTGACCAGGCGCTGATCTGAAATATATAAAGCAAGTAATAATAGATTTCCAGGGTGCACGCAAATATTGATAAATCGCATTCATTTAATTATTTCACAACAAATAGAAATGTTCTGAGAGATAATTATGATCATAAATATTTTAAAAGTTTGACAAAAGCTGGAAACATATTAAACGGCGGTTAAAGATTACTAAATGGTATACTGCTGCATCAGGCATCTCTGTCAATGCCAATTCGTATATAATGTAAAATACTTTATTTTCACGTGGAATAAATTTTTGCTATTTTCACTGGAGGAAAGATTCAGTGAAAAATAAAATCCAGCGATTTTACCTTTATTCCTATATTTTATATTCAACTCATCAAAAATCAGTGAAAATAAATTCCATACAAAACACCCCAAAAAAGTCTTTCCAATGAAAATTAATTCCAGATAAAATAAAGTATTTCACAGTGTAATGTAAATCACTTGATTTTAGCTGGAATTAATTTTTGCTGAAAAAAAAACACATTTCTGTTTTGTAAGTTTATTTTTTGCTGATTTTTGAGTTGAATGTACAAATGATGGCACTTGAAGGGATAACCTTTTCACCACCAGTTCCTCCTTTTCATCACAAATTCACAAAATAGTCTTGTTTATAGTCTACACTTTCGTTCAGAAGATTGGGACAAAAATAGCCAAATTTTTTGAGTAAAAACTGAAAATTTTCCCAAAATTTGGGTTCATTTCCAGAAATATTGAGGAATATAAGAAAAAAGTGCAGAAAAATTTGGGCGAGAAAGTTCTTCTTACAGGTCTATATCAACATTTTTGGAAAAATTTATTTTGTGAAAGAAGACTTTGGCAGGTTATGCTACATGTATACAAAACAACAATTTGATTTGATTTGCATGCTTCATAGTGTATATACCAAAACTATCATGTGACCTTGATTAAGTAATTGCCCTGTCATTATCAAAACATATTTTTCCTTTCAGTTTAGACACTAAAATAATACCTTAGAATTGGCGGCACATATTATTATTAAAAACAAAACAAAAAAAAAACATCGTTAACCAACAAACGTCATTAAAAAGACATATATTTACATGGCTCTAAGAAAAAAAATATCTAAACCACTTTTCAGTATCTTAGTAACCTTTCAAAAGAGAAATCTCCATGGCAACTATCCCATGTTTCTTTCATATTTAACAAGTATCATTAATACCTAAAGTAGTTGCTTTTGAAGGAGGCTAAAACTAGTTTTGACCTTTCTTGCAAAAAATTCATCAGAGAATATAAGCTCTTGGAGACGATGAAGGCAAGAGCCGAGTGAAAATAACTTCTTTAAAGCCTTCAGGAAATAAGATTCGAGAAATATGATCAATTTGTTTGATTCAAAGAGAATCAATCATTGGAAGACAGGTCTCTAGGAATCAGGACACAGATAATAACATGATCTAAAGCTGCAGTGTTCACTTTCAAAGCATATTTCTACACTACTAGTGTATAATAATACTTACAAACATTGTAACTTAATATTTTAAAAAACCATGTGGATAGCAGAGTATTTACAGTTTTTATATAATTCTGCTTGATACTGTATTTTGATGAAAACATATGCTTTACCATACAGTAATATGAAAATAATGTGTTCGCTGCTAACGTAGCAGTATTTATTTGATGAAATACAGTAGTGTAAATAATTATATAATGCAGTAGTGTAACTGTGATTATACCATATAATATGTAAGTGATTATACCAAACAGTAGTGTAACTGGGATTATACTACACAGTAG